CATCATCATCATCATCATCATCATCATCATCATCATCATCATCATCATCATCATCATCATCATCATCATCATCATTATTATTATTATTTGGGTGAGGGGATAGGTGGGTATTTTCCAAGATGCACCTCTTACCAGTAAATGAAACTTGATAATGAGAAATATCCAACTATAGCTCTTAAAGCCAAAAGTGTAGTGACATTCTTCAGGCCAAATATTGGCTGTCCGGTTCTCTTCAACCACACAAGAGAAAAAATCAAGAGTGATGTACACCTTGTAAATGCCATTTCAAAAAGGGAAATTGATTGACCTGTAAGTATTAACATCAAATGCAATATAGTTAACAAATTTGAGTAAAAATAGAGTTGATACAGGCCAAATATATTTTGCATCTATCTAACAAAATAGAAGAGCCATGATATTATGATAAGATACTGAGCATATTATAACCGTTTATATCTGTTTGTTCATATATGTATGGGTTGAAAATCACTGACCTGAAAAGATATCAGAAAGAAAATCCATAGTACAGTAGATTGTGGATGATAAAGTCACACATAGTAGTCCAGAGTACCTTGATCCGCTCCATGCCCATATTATATACTCCATAAAAGGTGACATATCGGATTCTGACCTTACCACTTGCTCCTGCAAGGCACAAAACTAATATAATTAAAAAAAATCATTTCTGAAAATTCAAAAGATGGCATGGTGATGCACTCTTGATTTTACTGGTTAATAGAAGATGTGTCAGTTTTAACCGGTTAGTATTAATCTTTCCCTTGTTATGCTAGACATACTACAAAGGATCTCCAACGAGGTAGATAGGTTCCTAAGTCTCTTTGTTGGGACACTGTCCCAGGATATTATGATCAACAACAACAAACACAGAAGAATATAACCTCAGTTGGGGTCGGAGGTTCAAGATGTTCGCAACCTCACCCCTTGTAAAAATAGAAAGGCTATTTCTGTTAGGCACTTGGATGCATTAGCTACCAATAACTTCATACGAAGTATAAAGTAAGAAACAAAGAAAGTTTAATGCGTAATTTATTTTTAGTCTGTTATTAACGTGAAGCTAAAACATTTAGTCCAATAAATTATGATCATTTGATTAAAATATAGTACTGGCTCCGTCCCACAAAACGTTTCACGTTTTCTCATTCCCTTTTTAGAAAAAAACATATGTGGTTCAAAATAGTTCTCTCTTATAAATAATTTTAACAACTCACTTTTCATTACTCAATATCCTTTATTCACATTTTTTAATAAGTCAAAGTGAGCAAATTAATTAGAGAGGAAGAAGTATATTTTTTCAAATTTTAAATTACTCTGTAATATAGTAACATGTTTACATGTAGTCATCTAAACCCAGCACATCAAGGCATATCAAATAACAAACCTAACACACTATGTTCCAAAACTTCCAACAAAATCATGCCAGAAATTCTCCAATTATGGCGCCATGGAAGGATTTAAGCATGAAAAGAAAATTGCCATTCCAATCATATAATGTTATACCCGGAGTATATTAAGAATATCATAAAAAAAAACACGAGTATGAAAACCCACCTTATTAGACTTTCGCTTAGGGTACGAGATAGTGAAGATGTTGATCTTAGTCCTCTCTGGTTTAGGGAGCAAGGGAGTAATTTGATCATCGGAAATAGCAATTGAAGCGTCCGTAGATGAGGCCACGGCGTCAGGAAGACGGTCAGCTGGTACGGCACCGGGCAACAGAGACATCTCCACCAAATGGCAGTCCCCAACCTCTACGTTCGCTCCGGCGCTGATCCCGCCGCTCATCGACGACTCCCCTGCCGCCATTTTTAGTATTCCTAAGACGAATGACGGAGAATATGGCTGCAATTTCCGGCGAGTCAACAATGGCCTGCCGCCTGCAATTGCCCAACGGAAGTGATGAAACTTCTCCCCAGCTTCATTGTCATTATCATTCTATTTGCTATTTTCTCCCAGATTAGTTTTTTTTCTTTTTCTCTTTTTTTAATCTCGCATATTAGTTAAGGCTAGTAATGGTGGTAGGCGTGTTAGCTCGTGTGGCAAAGGACCTGATTAAGGAACGGTTCGAATTTTATATCGTCCCGCGTTTTGTCTCGTTTTTTTCAATCAGTTTGGAAAAGTTCAGGTCACAGACATATTCTTCTTTGTTTTTTAATATTCAGGGATAGGATAAAATAAAATGGGTTCAGGTTGTCATGCTTTATCATTATCCGGAATTAGATATAAAAATATATACTCTGGTAGTACATATGGGGGAGAAAACCCACTTTTACTTGTAAAGTTAAAAAAATGATATATTTATTTAGAACGTCTAAGAAAAACCAAAACAATAAAGAAACATGAAAAAATGCTACAACATATGTCAAAAGTCGAAATTATACACTTCATAAAAGTATGAGCCGCTCAAAACAGGATGGATTTTTAGATGTGTTGGTCCTAAACAATTTTTGTAGACTATTTGAATTTAAGTATTTGTTTATATCTATGTTGAAAAAACAAAAGCTGTGATATTTTTTGTGTTATATCATTATATAAACAAATAAATAGATATAAACGTATCTACGGGACAATGGGACGGAACGAGAAAATATTGATGTGTCCTGATCACGTCTCATTTTAAAACGGTTCGGAACGGATTCGAGACAAAAAAAATTATCCCAAACAAAACGGGATATTATATGGACAGGACCAGGATATTTTAGGTCGGGACAACAGGTTGGAGATTCTAGTCCACCCCTAATACTATCATGTCCATTACGCCATCTGGCTCATCATCATGTTCGTTTTTCTCTTTCTTATCATAATTTGAAATACAAACATTAAATAGATTTTTAATTAAAATTTAAATTTATAATTACCTTGACATAATACAAAAAAAGCAAGAAATAGGAGCGATAGATGGTAAAAAAAATACAAGTACTTGATTGAAAATAAAAAAACAACTAGTCCGGTACAATACTTGATTAAAAAAAATTAAAGATCTCCGTTGTCCCCCAAACTTCCAAGCCACTCCCGGCTAATTTTATCCTTCATTTTTAGTACAACCGCACGCTCTAGAAGTGGTAAATGATCAACACTCGTCATCAGAATCTACGGATTTTCAGAATCTAAAAAATGAATCGGATTTTAACTTTCTTTCGATGTCCCCCTTAGTAAAGTTTAAATAATTTTACTTTATGTGATTTAAGGCCTTTTCCCATTTTCAAAATATTGCAAATGAGTTTTCACTAAATTTGGGAGAGAGGAAACCATCTATTTAAAGAAAAAAAATTAATCTCACATACATGTCACAACAATACTCCCCTCCCAATGTTACCAAAAGGTCGCTTAATACGGAGTAATAATAAACTCCCCACGAAAATGAAACCAACAAACAATCCCTCCAAAAGGTCTCATCTCACCTTTACGCCTTCCCCTCCGTTCTTTCACTCCCAAATTCTATTTCGGCAATGGCGACGGCAACGAAGAACAAGGGGAAGATGAGAATCCCACTCAAACTCATCATCCCGTCCCTCCTATTTCTCATCCCCTGTCTCGCCGCCGGCGCGCCGGGATTCGACTACGCCGACGCGCTCTCCAAGTCTCTCCTCTACTTCGAGGCGCAGAGGTCGGGGCGGCTGCCGTACAGCCAGAGAGTGACGTGGCGCCACCATTCCGGCCTCACCGACGGCCTGGAGCAGAAGGTGGACCTCGTCGGGGGCTACTACGACGCCGGGGACAACGTCAAGTTCGGCCTGCCGATGGCGTTCACCGTCACGATTCTGTCGTGGGGCGCGATCGAGTACGGCGCGGAAATCGCGGGTGCAGGCGAGTGGGAGCACGCGCTCGAGGCAATCAAGTGGGGCACCGATTACTTCATCAAAGCTCATACTAGTCCCAATGTCTTATGGGCCGAGGTCTTTTTTTTTTTTTTAATTTCTTCTGGTTTCGATTTCAAAAAAAAAAACAGGAAACGATTTATTTATTTATTTATTTATTTTAAAAAAATAATTTTTAGGTGGGGGACGGAGACAGTGATCATTACTGCTGGCAGAGGGCGGAGGACATGACGACACCCCGGCGGGCGTTCAAGATCGACGAGAATAATCCCGGGTCGGATCTCGCCGGAGAAACGGCGGCGGCCATGGCCGCCGCCTCCATCGTCTTCCGGAAAAGCAACCCGCATTACTCCCACCTTTTATTGCACCATGCCCAGCAGGTATGCGGTTTTGTTTGATAGCCCCATTTCAAATTTTACTATCTTTCCCCCAAAAATTGAATTACAAACAATGAATAAAAAAATGCATAAAATGTGTTGGCGGATCACATCATTCAATTATTTATTTGGTGTAAAATTGATTGAATGGTTGAAACTTAAGTAAATTTTTTATAGGTCCGTTTCGTACACAAAATTGACGGAATTATAATTGAATTGAAATTTGAAATTCTATGAAATTGATTTGGATGAAATTGAGTTTTTCGATTCCAACTTATTTTTGGCACTTCAAATTCCAAATCCAGATATTTTTGTGCTACCAAATAACAAAAATGAAATTATCGTCTCCAATTTCAATTCCACAGTTTAAATTCTGTGTACCAAATTTACTCTTTTTTGAATGCATGTATATTTTTCCAAAAAGGTAAAAACAAAAATTTTGTAATGTATTGAGTTAGACTAATTAATTAATTGAATTCAATTAAGTTGAAATGTCTTAGCCCATCTATTCTAAATTTCAATTAAATTTCAACAAGTTTTGCCAACCTATATATTATATGATGGAAGCTAAGGAGTCGTACGAATGCCCACCGACTCTTTGTTTCATTGTGGAAAATATTTGCCTTTGTGCGAAAAATTTATTAAAATTGACTTAAAGTCGTGATGCTTAATTCATATTCCCTCTGTCCACAAATAAACTTTACGTTGCGTGTTACGATGTTTGACTGAAGTTATTTTCAAATCATTTTATATGAAAAATGGTGTAGAATTGAAAAAAAATTACATATTAAAAAACTACTCCGTATATCAAAAGATCTACAAAACTAGAGGTGACATGACTATATTATTTTATCAAATGAGTGGCGAAAATAGGCCAACAAAGTGAATAAAGTTTGACCTTGTGAATAGTGAACGTAAAGTTTATTTGTGGACGGAGTGAGTAGAAATTAAAGTTACAGTAATAAAAAAAGCTCCATTTGCAATAAATTTTCCAACTAAAAACACTAAATTCATTCCACACAAAAATCCCACTATAATACAAAATTAGTCGACTTTTAATCGACTACGATTGGATTGTCGCAGCTATTCGAGTTCGGGGAGAAGCACAGGGGCACGTACGACGATAGCATCGGAGTGGCGAAGAGCTACTACGCGTCGGTCAGCGGGTACAAGGACGAGTTGTTGTGGGCCGCGTTCTGGCTGTACCGAGCCACCGAGGACGAAGAGTACCTCCGTTACGCGGTGGACAACGCCGTCCCCTTTGGGGGCACAACTTGGGCCATCTCCGAGTTCACTTGGGATATCAAATACGCCGGTCTTCAAATCCTCGCCTCCCACATTTTGGTATGCATGCATCCCTTCTCTCCAAACGCCTTTTTTTTTGAATTATTTAAAAAAAAATTAATAAATTATTTTCATTCCATTATTTTCATAATAAAATAGAGTAAATGTGGTATTTATTTCTTCACTTTTTACTCAATATTTTTCTTAAAAAAACTGGTATGAGGCCAAAGAATCAAAATGAGTGAGGTATGGAGTGAGTAGGCGGTCATAGGAAGCACAGTGGAGTTTGAAGGGGTAACATGGGGGTGAGGGAGCCGAAATTTTTCTTTTAATAATGACACACACAAGGTATTGATTCTCAATTGGTCGTCGGTGTTATAAAAGTGGATCGGATGGCTTCGCATCGAGCCACGTGCTTTCGACTCCGTACCATCACCTCCTAATTACTCCCTCCCTTTCATAAAACGGGTTTATTTTGACTTTTTTAAAAAATAAGAAGTGTATATTTGTGCCTGATTTTTTCAATTTTGTATTTGATTTGATGGGTAAAAATAAGATGTGATGGATATATTATTAATGAAAAAATATGATGTGATGGGTATGGTTAAATGTAGGGGTGGACACGGTACCGGTACGGTACTGTGACCGGCAACGGTACTGCCGGTACCCGCCACCGTCACCGCTGGCCGGGACGTCCCACCGGTTCCGGTACCGTTTTTTTTATTTCTCCAAACATGCAACGGTCCATGGGGTACCGTTTACGGTTCTTTACCTCGTCGCTTTTTTTGAACCATCAGGATATTAAGTGTAGTTGTTCTTCAGTTCGTGTATTACTCATTTTATAATATTTATATAACAACTACATTTTTAGATTTTTTTATTTCATTCTTTTACTTTAACAATTGCACTTTTTCAATTTTACACTTTAAAAATTAAAAAAAAAGCTTAAAAAAATAATAATTGGGAGGTGGCCGAAACCGGTCGGTCCGGTACCGAAACCGCCGGTCCGGTCACGGTACCGATACCAAGGGGTGGCGGTACCGGAACCGGAACCGTCTTGGAACCGTACCGTGTCCACCCCTAGTTAAAAATGGTAGGGTAAAAGTGATTTTTGAATAGAAAGTTGAAGTATTTTGAAAAAAAAGAAAGCGAAAGTATTTTAAGATACGGAGGGAGTTACTCTTTCGAGAAAGAGAAGAAGATGAACCCCATTGGTGAAGGCTCTCTTAGCAATGAGCGAAGCTTGTACTTCATATTTGAGAGGGTTTATGCTTGATATATTTGCCTCCCAGTACAGTTTTTAAGAATCGAACTTGAATCTTACTCCCTAAGCACTCTTTGCTTTTGCCAATTGCGTAGCACCCACTGACTTTTTAACACGTTTTGAGGTTCGACCTATAAAAAATTATTTACTTTAATTTACATGAAATTAAAAAGATGATAATTTTAAAATGGAAGATATATATGATACGCGGAGTATTGTGTATTTTTCACTCTTTAAATTTTTTTAACGCATAAATTTCTTAATAAAAATGGATGAGTCACAACACGGAAAGTCACTTGAGAGAAATTAATTTGAGCTATAATCACAGAACACTGACAAAGGCTGGAGTCTGCATCTCGCACTTAAGCATAGTTGTCAGGAATCAAACTCGAGTTTACTTTCTTAACACTTCTTGCTTAACCAACTGAGCTATGCCAACTCGGTATTAAATTCAAGTTTTTAGGGAGGGAGTATAAAAGATTATACTTTGTCACCCCATGGATTTGACATGTCATTCTTTCTATAACCACGTGAGATGTTCTTCGGACCCCTCATAGACCCAAAAAAAATTAATGTCACTCTGCTGTA